TATTCTTTAAAATGACTTGCTTATCGTTTACGCGGTTATAGAGTCTATAATAAGATAGATCGTACTGATTCAAATAGAATTATGACCTCGTCTAAAACAAATCATCAAATTTGATGATGTATGATGATAATAATAATGAGATAGCTATGCCGATAATACTATCATTTCCCGCTGACTTTTCCTTTCCTCTTCTTCTTTCATATGGTCATCTCTCTTTCTCTCTCCTATGTAAACGTGTGTTATATGTGAAGTAGTCACATTTGGAAGACACGAATGTTCATCAGCATCATTACAAATGATGACATTAAGCTAGTTTATTGTTACCGTGGTTATTTCATTTTTCTTTCTATTTTTATTACAATTAACCCTTTCACACTAATCGTCATTTTAAAGATGTTACTATCGAAGTGACTTATACTCAGAGCAATATTCTTTACAGAATACAAAATCTTTTATAGAGAATAGTTGTGATAGAAAAAGAATGAATTGTACTTCTCTAAATTGGTCGTCGAAGTCCGTCTATAATCTCAGTTCTACTATTGTCGTTTGTTCAATAGCTGTTATTATTCATACTTTCTTTTGGATTCGAGTTATGACAATTTCATCATTAAGACAAAGAAATATGATGTGGTTATATGCATATCTATTAACGGATCTTTTTCTTCTAACTCGATTTTTTATTTTCTATTTTATGCGTCAGTGGCATGTGTGCTTACATCCAACATTTCAATTAATCTTATGTTATTTTGAAGCAACATCAAAATTTTATATTAATATAGTACAAAGTTATATTTTGCTGGCGTTAAATGTATGCCGTGGTGCACAAATTATATTTAATCGAAATGTTTTTATAAACAATTCTCATTTAATTATTTTAACTCATTTTTTAATTTATATATTACCAGCACTTAATATCACCATACAAATTTTTGGTAATTGGACTATATTGTTGCGTACAGCAGGCGAATCTTGCGATATAGTATATAGTTCTTTAGCTATAGAAATATTTAATCTATTCATCATCTATATTATTCCAGTTGCTTTGAATCTTATTGTCATCGCATTTTGTATTCGTCATGTAAGTTCAATAAAAGGTATTCATAGTCAACAAATAATTAATCTTCGTCGTAAACATAAAAAAAATCTTTTAATGCGCACAATAATATTTTATTCAATTTGGCTTGTACTATGGAGTCCAAATGTACTTGCTTTTCAATTTATTAATGTTAATACCAAACCTGGCATTTATATTTCTTTGCTCAATTATATAGAAATACAGACTGATCCGATTTTTATCACTGTACTTGACGTTCGATTTTTTCAATCATGGAAAATAATATGGCTGAAAATAAAAGGATGTCGACGGAGAGCTATTGCACCAGCATTGGTAACAGCTCTTGAACAAATCTATTGACAGTGTTATATTCATAATATGTCATCATTACTCTAAGATTTTCATTATATAAATTAGTTTTTTTTTTCTTCTCTCTATATATAATACTTATCTAATGATTCCTTGTAAATATGAGTGAAATGCAAGTTGTTGACAGATGACACTTTTCTGCTGAAGTCACAAGATCAACTATTAAAAACTTATTTAATTTTATGTCAAAAGTTTGAAAGGATTGTACAAAATAATCATGATCTTTGAGGAATAAGTATCAAGCTTGATCAACAGATTTTTCAATGATCTTATATATTATGTTTGTTTTTATCATGGAGAGTATCCATAAATGGCATCCTGTCAACAATCGCCTTCTTCTACTTGTCTCCTATTTCTGTATTAAAACTTCTTTTGTGAAAGACGTTCGTTGTTCCAGTGAATTATTCTTTTGTTGTGGAACTCATGTTCATTTTCGACGAAAAATAGTGAGTACAAGTCTTAAGTTCAAATTTTTGCGGCTGTTTCCCGTCAATATCTTTGAATAGAGCACCATTTACAATTTCCCATTTTTGTGACAAAACTCTTCAAGATTCAGTATTATGGAATCGAACCTTGTTGGTCCACATATCTGAGCAGATAGCATTTGATGGCTCAGCATTACTAGACAGAACTTGTATTTATTTTCTTTTTACAGTAAGCATGTTCATATCGTCTCACAAAAATCAACATATTTAAGAAAAAAGTTGAACATTCTTCATTTGAGAGTTGAGAGACGAGTCTATGATCTAAAGTCGAACATGAGTGAACCGAATGAACATGAACATTTTGCTGAAGAGATCTTTTTAGAATTGTATCACGAATGGAAATTCTTTATAGGAAGAGAACAAATCATCAGAAAAATTTTCATCAGTGAAATAACTTGTTTGCTTGCAAAAAGTCTCACTTTTTGTTAAATGCGGAGCCACTTCACTATTTTCGAAGATTTTTTCTTAAGTTGGGCATACTTATATCAAAAACGATATTCGAAGATGAAATCGAACAAGTAAACCCTTGAGATTCAATGAAGACACAGTCCAATGTATGAATAATGTAGCTGGCTATAGAATGTGACTTTGATTTGATCAAGATCCAAATTTTCGTCAGCTGCTTATAATAAGAATAGCAATATTAAAAACAAAGTTTCTTCTTAAAGTTGTTCTAAGCTGTCATTACATACTTCGTCAATGATTGACAAAAATAATATTCATCTTCAGCGAATGCGAAAAATGTCATATCTTCATTAGATATAAAGATGAATGCCATCGTTATTCTGTGTCATTTTAACACAAGCTATGCTTTGAACAGTAATCCGTTGTTTCATATTCGTTCTATTCAGGTAATTCTAAAATATATTTTTATCTTCCTTTTAAACTTTGCAGGTTTGATTCTTGTTTCATTTTACATATCCTGTTATTAATTTAGTAAAATGAAATCTCAATATGATCGATGTTCGTCAAATAGTGCATACGCCTGTTTCCATATAGCAGATGCTCTATTGACATTGGCCTTTGTGGCAATGAATTTGTGGATTGTTCTGAGTTAGTTCCATATGAACCCTTAAACAACCTATGTCGTGAATCTAACCCTAGGTGCGTTCATCATTCTCAATGCCATCGTCTTCCTGTTTGTTATTCGGTACCGAGTTTTAATCAACAACTCTGTCCACCGATATAAAGCAAGAAAACAAACAGTGATCTACAGATTTAAGCACAAACTAAATCTTTCTTAAACTTATTTCTTCATCGTTCATAGACCCCCACATATGCAGTTCATGTTGTTGTAGGAACGGCAGAGAAGAACCAAAGAGTCTTAGAAAAAAATTAGATAAATCAAGATAGGGACAAAAACAAATCGTAATATTGAAATGCATGAAGAAGAAGTTAAATTTGGAGTGTATATCAGAGGCAAAAAAATTGCACAATTGATTATTTGATTCGATTTGATTCTATAGAACGTGTCATGTTTCTCTTTATTCACTGTTTTCGTTGTATACTCGACCGATTCGTGTGAATATTGAGTTTGCTCGACAGCCTTTTTCAAAATAACTGTGATTAACATTTAGCGGAAAAGAAAACGCATTAATAATTCTCTCTAGCATGTTTTCAATAACTAAACTTGCGAAACTGAAGGCCAATCATTTAGCTGGGATGCAGTAAACGCTGCAGTTCAAGAGAGTTTTAGTGATCGAATTGGATGAGTATGCCATTGATGATCAATAATGCAACTGTGTATGTTATTTATGTTTCATAACTGGTAGCACTACGGACGCAGTCGCCTCAGTAAGATACTAATAAATGCAGAATGCATATTGATGAGTTGCTCTTGGTACTACTTCTTATTTTTGAAGATACATAGGTGTGAGTGTGGGTGTTTTTTCAATAATACAACCACACTTACATACCGTCGAGTTCAATGATTTTCAATTGAATACACTCATGACAGTGGGAAATTTTTTTCTTTCCTTCAAAAATATCACGTTGAATTTATGAAAGAAACGACTATTCTATTCGCACGTGCGACCAGGCACTATCCTTGTGGAACCAAGTCAAGCGCGAAGCTCGTGCATGCATGGAAACAGACTCAACGAGTTTGCAGTATCTGCTCGAAAGGTCTTCAATTAAATGGTGAGACCTCAAACGCATTAACTCACCCACTACCATCTAACAAGACCCCTTAAAGTTATAAATAAGCGACATCTCATATTCACTGTTATCAAATACAGTTAAACAATTAAAGTAGATTAAGGAAAATTGCGTCGGAAAATTTTGTCTTAAAAGCTTAAGGTTTGAGCTTCATGGCCAATGTTACTTTGGCCAGTTTCATATGAATTTAATAACTACCCATGGATCTCAAAAATAAAAAATACAAATTCATTTAAATGGTTATTTTCGGAAGTATAATATGAAAAATTTCATATTTTTAGTTATCTCATAGACATCAAAGTCATTCCATTCATCAATGACTTTGGTGTAAAAAACATAATATGTTACAGTTGGTTATCGAAAATAAGTAATGAAAATGATTAATTTATATATACCATTTTCTGAACAAACAGAATGTGTTAGCACAAAGACCATGTTATGCCATGCATTTTCTAAAGTTTGTGACGTATTTTGTCACTATATGCGACGATAGAATAAAATGAACTCTTAGATGTGTAGTTAAATCAGATGAAATAAAAGTTAGTTCTTTGATTATCCTTTTTATGGTGAGGTTTTTGTGCATGTTTAATGGTTTTCATCCAGAAATTTAAAATCCATCAGAAACAATATCCATTGCATTATTGAACAATGGCTGTTTTTCATTTTGCGTGATCGTTTTTTGTCATTTTTTATTCGTGGGCTGGATGAGCGGTCTCAATTACATGAGATAATTTTTTCCGATTTTTTTTCTATTCAGTGACTAGAATTGATCAGATTTGCAACCAACCTGATGCACTCTACTTATATCGTTAGATATATTTATAAAATTTGTCAAGACTAGTGATATTTATATAAATTCAATGGAAGTAAACAACTCATTAGGAAAAAAAAATTAAGTCCCCTAATTTCATTATCCCATAAAAAACACTTTACATTTACAAATTTGATTTCATAAAAGACGTTTTCATGTCAATTAAAGTACTTTCAATCGAATCTGCCAATGCTTGTGCATTTGTATCCGAACAACTTCGATACGCAGTGGCAACAAATGTTACTCTACAATAAATAAATAAATAAATCATTATGATCATATTTGTTTTTACGTACGCATCACTACCAAGTCGATAAAACACTCCATAACCATTTAAACACATTGGTGATGTTCCACCTACTGTTATAGTGAAACCAATACAACTTGTAGATAGAATAAAATTACCACCTCCACCACTAAAGACAAAACGATTTAAAAAGTAATAAATCTTTTTTTTAAACCTTTTTATCCATGATGGATCATTTGCGAGTTCGAATGGTTTTCCTGTTATATTTGCTATCATACTCAATCCAAATAAATGTCGATCACAACCTTGATTTTCCGATGCTTCAGTCATTACTTCTTGATGACGATTAGCAGCAATAAGAAATAATTTTCGTTTTTCAATTTCCTATATATCTCAACTGTATGACAAACATACGAAAAAAAAATAAATTTTACTGTTATTTGATTATTTGAATTTGTCATTGCACGACACCATGCAACTACTTCTGGTGTACAAGTTCGTGCTGTTTCAGTTCTTCCACGATAAAAACGTCTTGTTGATGCTGTTTCATAAGTTGGTGCAGGTTTATGTCCATGTAATTTAAAATAAGCTAGTTGAAGACATAATTGAAAAAAAGTATCTGGATGAATGCGAACATATTGTTTAATATCTTCTTTTGTACATTGAGTTACATTAATGGCTTTAATTTCGATATTATCTGCTGAATGATAAAATAACTTAACTGCACGATTGATAGCATCAAATACACGTGAATCATAAATAAATAAAAGTTCTCGAACGATTATTTTATTATAAGGATCAGATAATATTGGCCATGAATTTATCTTTTCAAGAGAATCAATATGATTTTGTATATGATCCCCGATTTGTGTTGGAATAATACCTTCATAAGCTGAGTGCTAAATATAAAAGTTATTTGAAATAAATCTTAATATAAGACATTAGAGAACTACTTCATCATTTGCTACAATAAGACCATTTTGTGTGACAATATAAACATTTGATCGATCAAACCAACGTGATTGAGGATTTTTCAACATACCAATACAAGCAACCTAAATATTCATATTCAGTCTTTCATTATATACGAGAAGTAACGAACATTCTAGGAAGAATTGCACTAAGTGTCAATGCATTTGAGCTTTGTTTTTCAAACAAAGCAGCTTTATTGGCACAAAATTTAAAAATATAAATAATCATTTAGTCGTCTAACCGTGTTAATCAAGAAAACGAAAAACGGATGACAGATTTTTTTAATAAAGATCCTACTGAAACGTTAGCTATCTCACACGAAGTCTTTCGTAACTACTGCATGTTTGGATGAATAGAACTAACATGGATCGTCAAACGGTCGAAGTAATATAGAGACCAAAATTCGCCATCTACTAATATTCAGCGATTTCCTTTTATTATCGGTCTTGATGAGCCAAGGTTTTACAAAAATCAATAATTGTATGCAGAAAATAAGAACTTGGAGTTGGTCTTAACTTTGACCCGACAAAGAAAACTTGTTTGAAAAAAAAAGTCAACAGAGTTTTACAAATTGAAATTCTCTATCTTTCGGCATTTAAAAAAAATATTTTAGGCATAGGTAGTAGCAGAAAAAGAAAATCGATGCCTTTTTTCGACTCTAATAGAGTTTTTATTTGTAGATTCATAGCTTTCATAGATCTAAGAAAGCTATTTTCAAAAACTCGAATATAAACTTCATAGATTTGTTACCATAATGAAGATTTAATTTACTCTACCTCTGTTATGTTTTCAGGATTATCATCATCCAATGCATAAACAAGTAATGCTTGTTCAATCATTTGAAAATTGATTTTATTTTGTTCATTAATTTCACATAAATGATCACGTATCTGAAACTTATTTAAATACTAATAAAATAATCATTTGTTTTCACTTACTTCTGCCCACTCATCACGTGGTAATGCAGTAAGAGCACCTAATCCAAGTCCAGGACTTTGATTACTTTGTTTAACAATATCGTCAAGTTTTTGAAGAATTTCCGGTGGTGTAAGAAGTTTCTTTGATTCATATAAATCAAATGTAAATAGATGACCATTACGAATAACTACAACATGAGTTGGTGGAGTTTGAACATCTTCAGAAACTATTTTTAAAAATAAAATAGATATATGAAAAAAAAAAATTTACAATATAAAATCAAACAAACCAGTTCGAAATGAACTAACTAATTCATCACATTCTTTATGTGGAATTCGACATGTATTAAAAAAATGTTTTAATTGATGCATTGTCAATGGATGTTTACCCATGTATGATATTGGATAACGTTCTCTTGAAAATATAATTAGATTATTCATTTCAATCTAAATTTATATTGTCCTACTCGCGTATTGTTTCAAAAACAAGAGCACAAGCATGCATATGTATAGATGTTCGTATTAGTTGTGAATTAGCTTTAGGTGGTACTAAACAATTAAAACCCATCATGTTCATGGCTGGTGCAATTGGTAATCGCCATTTTAAATAAATTTCTTCATCCCACCATTTTGCAAGCTATAAAAATGTCAAACTTTTTTTCGATTTGAAAATCAATAAAATTTTGATTATTTACACTCTTTTTTTTTTCGTGTCTTACCCAATTTCTTTCCTGTCGCTTCTCAATATTCGTCTTCAATTGTTCATGTAATTCACGTCCAGTTCCTTTGGCGAATTGTTCAACAATTTTTTTCGTCTTAACATATTCATCATCACTGACAACAGTTCGTACTAAATATGTATAATAAATAGTTAGTTTCCAATGATTTTTCTTTTTTTTATTTGAATACTTGAATCAAGATAACGTTCAAGTGTATGTTCTAATGTTGGTAATGGTAAAGATGGAAGTTTGTCATCATATTCAAATGTTTTCATCATCGACCTTTTTGATAAATAAAAACACATATCTCAGCAGGTGTATATTTATTTGTTGAAAATAGAAAGTAGATTAGTTTGGAGATAACGGTAGATATTTGTTTTCATATTCTCTTTCACCTATCACGTGCATCATTTACACAAAAGGTAATTTCTTATATCTATTCGTCTTGTGTTAACTTTATCAAGAGTAATAAAATAGGACCGTAAGTTTCACATTTACAGTGCTTTTTCAACTTCACATAAAACTGAAGCGATAATATTTTATTTATACAAAGAAACTTATTCAAGTTTGTATCTTTGACTGATATGCTAAATAATAAAGTTCTTATAATATGTTATTAAGTAGTTTTTATTTAATAGTAAAGAAAATTAGGTCATTTTACACTTGTCATTATATATAAAAGAGAGAAAATTTAATGTATATTTAACCATCGAGTTATTTCTAACCTATATGCTGTAACACCTGATTTTAATTCAAAAGAAACCATCCATAAGCGAAGTTCAGTTATTTTTCACAGAATTTTCAGCAAAAATTGAAGTTTATGAGGGAAGTCTTCCAACTGTTCGATTGCTTTTAAATCTAGACTATGTGCATCATGCAGATCCGAATGAACTATGAATATCCTTGAAAGGTGTCGTGTCCTCAGTTTATTGCTACGAAAGTAATACACTTTTACAGAATATTTGTAAATAACTACGGTGGCTCCTCTCACGAACACCAGAAAAACTGCCATGTGAATTTCAAACTAAAACTTTGCATAGAGACAAGTCTTAATAAGAATGGTTTTTTGTGAAGGTTTCCTATCGAATCCTAAGAGAAAATTGTAGTAATAACATGTTTTTTTATGTTATTCATATAAAAGAGCAGATTTTATATCATTATTTCAGGATAAACGCAAACAAAAATAGATGAAACTTTCACAATCAACTGCTACCTTTGAGGTTTATATCTATACAAATTTTCATTTCAAAAATTCAAAAATCAGTTTTTTTTCTCATGTTCGTGAGGGCAGTTGACCACGACATTTATTTAATTAATATCATAAAAACGTAGTATCTCTGTAGAATAAACTCAGCTCACGAACTCTTTTCAGAGTATTCATAGCATCATTTGAGCGTACATAATTCACATAGCCTCGATACAAAAGCGATTGAACAGTTGGAGAACTTTCCTCATCGGTTTATTTTGAAGGCCATCTTTAAGTAGGAAATGAACTGATTGAATAATGGAATGTACATATGGTATTCAAATAATTAGAGATTACCTTATATGAGTAGGCAGCTATTTTCTCCAGTAGTGACATGAACGTTATTAGAGTTTTGAATATCAGTTGTATTGAACTTCTTTTTGTTTTACTATTTTGTACTTGTTAAAATATAATAAATATAACAAAAGAATGAGTAACAATTTTATACATTATGACTAATATAGGCATATTTCTGTTGTAATTGAATTCATTTTACAGTTTTAATTTTTTTTCATAAATGTGCCTATGTCGTTGATGAAGTTAATTACTTATTCCGCTAAATTCTAATGAAAAAAAATATCAAGTACCACATTGCCATACTCTAGCTATAGTCTATAAGTAATGATCAAAGGCTTTACTCATAACAATACTCACGTAAGTACTTGTCATTATCTTTTGAAAAACGTTTCAGCGGTACGCTTTATTTACTGAGGTTTAAAACATGAAAGTATTTTATCTATTGATCCCAAACAGTCATCTAACACTTGTTTTCACTAATATGTATTAGTTGAAAAAAATTAATCTCTACAAGATAATTTTTCTATTTTACAGTAGATTTCAGTGCTTAAAATTTAACATTGAAATATCTTTAGAATGATGATCGCTTGTGAAAAAATCCTAATGTCAATTTTTTTTTAAAAATCTTCGTGATGGCCGTACTCTGGGTTATGCGAATGCTTAATCTAACGTTAGTAAAAACCGTCTAAACCTATGTGAGTGAGGAAGATACTTCCGAAATGTTAACTAAATAATTTCATCAAGTAGATTATTACCTTTCATTATGTGATAAACTAGATTTTTATATTGTTCAAGTTAATGCAATGGTTGAACAATCACATTACCTTATTTTCCTAATTATCAGTGAACAATAAGATAGAATAAAAAATGATGAACAAAAAGAAAGTCTAATGACTATATTCTATCTACTAATGATGCATTCATCATTAGGACAATTACACCGATATTTAGATAATAAATTCATATGGTTTCAGTTAATGACCAAAATTAAATTATGAATTATTAACTATAAAACAATTAGAAGAAACGAACAAAAACTCAAAGTCAGATCTTCAATTGACATTTGTTCTTTCAATGTTTATTCTAACACAAATGAAAGCCTGACATTGCTATTATTCATAAAATATTTTCACCAGATTCAATTTCCTTGAGCAAATTCTGATAATTTGTATCAAAATCTTTTTTTGTAAAATCAATATAGAGCAATTCAGCTGAGATAAGACCGAGCCATCCATCCGGATCGTATTTTTCTTGAAGTCTTAATGGAATAAGTCTTTTACGTTTCTTACATGCATATGTTAATTCTTTACGACAATTATCCGATTGTCTGTACTTTTCAGTCATTCCGAATAGAACAATCTCCGATTGTTCAACTGCTTTGGCCATGGCCGTATAGATACATCCATGCATATTCTGAACGTCAAACCATATTGTGTATCCGTCTGATCGCAGACGGTCATAGATTTTCTTGCATATAGCCTGATTATCCCAGTTATAGCTGATCATCAGATGCTGTTTCGAAGTAGATGTAGGATGCTGATCAGATTGAGTCATACGACGTTGATTTTGTTGCGGACGACGACATAAACAAACACAAGTATTCGTATGTGCTATTTCTACAGATCTTCGGTTTGGCATTGCATATGATGGTGGTGGAGGTGGAGGTGGAAGCGGAGAACAGGAGGAATGTCGGTAATGATTTGTCGGCTTATAGGCAATCATAATATCTGTCTCCGATATGCTCACCGATTCTTGAATATCTTTATACACATCGTCAACAGTTTGTTCTAAGATTTCCGATGTCTTGTGTTTAAATGATTGATCATGAAGTGGTACTTTGCCAAAGAAATCACATGTTCCACCTAGAGTGTATATTAAAGATTTTAAAAAACAAAAAAGCAAGTGTAAAAATTTTAATATCTGATTTTTTTTAATCTAATTTTCAATTGAAACTAAATCATATATTTAACGAATTTTCAAAAGGATTTTTTTTGAAACTAAAGATATGATTTTTTAACAAGAATTATTGATCGGAAACAACGAAATCTTAAGTAATATTTCAATAGCAATCGGTTAATGATGAATCAATTTTTTCCTAATCAAAATGAATAAAACAAATTATGTATATTTTGTCACTTTGCCAAAAAAAAATCGAAAATCGAAAAAATATAGAATCAGGCGCAATTTTTTAACCTTTGAATTCTATTTGACATCAATGCACTAACTCTGGTTTTAACCAATCTCAAATAATCAGACTTGTTGGGACTTGAAGCCGGAACTGCTAATATTCAGTTAGAATCGACATTGGTGCATCCCTACTCAATAATAATTCAATAAATCAAACTTAAGCTTTGAGAGAATTTTCATCTTTAGTTCAACATTGGTTGCTCACAAGTCTGAGAGAGAAATCTTCTTCGAAAGAAAAACTCAGTTATTTATTAAAATTCCGAGCATGAGTCATGTAATTGATAAAAAGTAACATAAAAATAACTTAATCAGATGAAAAAAATTTGAAGCAATTAGAATGACTGCATGTCTCTGATCTGCATTCTTGGTACAGCATGTGTAGACCTGTAACAGTTTCATATCGATGCCGATAACACAAACTGTCGAAAAGTTTTAGAGGAATTCGTCTTTTTTGATAGACTATATGGGAGAAATTGGATTCCTATTGTCATTGTCGATTCTGCAACTGACCTAGTCAAAGATTTTATTTTGAGAAATTAGATCAAGTTTTTGTTTTCACATGTATCTTTTATGAGAAACCATAAGCAGGAGCACTACAATACACTTAAGAACGACACTTAGAGGAGACAATGACTTCATGTGAAAAAAAATAACACGATGCTCTGCTATTCATAAGGATTATAAGCGAAAACAAGTACGAAGATAAACTAATCATCCGTTCGGCACTTTGTATCTAGTCTTTGTCCTCACGTTTGGAAAACATGTAGAGAATAGATGTACATACATAGATTATCAAAATGAACATTGCAGTTACGCGCATGTTACATCGGTTGATGAATCCAGTACTTACTAGGAATACAGTACAAACTTAACATGCACACTATTGTTCATTCTAGCGTTCTGCATCATATATGTTTATAATTCCCTTATCTGTTCTCTTTGCACATTCCATAGAACTAAACTGGTATAAGTAAAAAGTCATCTCGTTGAGTTTTTAAATTAGCTTCTGGTATTTATGCTACAATATTGATGTAAAACCGAATTTTTTTTTTCTAGCGATTTGATGCACTGTGGAAATAAAAAATGTTGTCATGATGAAATTTGGTGAGCACAGAACAAAATAAAGATATTTATATATCGATCAGTTTCAAAGGAAAATTTCGAGATCTCTTGCATCTATGAAAACTGAGACCTACTAGGTGAAAGCCTTTTGTCTGCTACTCTTAGAGTACGTCTTTTTCATTCAAACGTGAAAAGAATGGAATGCATTTTCAAGCACAATAATATTTTATGACAAGTATACTCCTCAACTTCCGTTTTACGTAGTTCTCTTTGAATACATAGAAAGTGTTTGGCTATCATTGAACAAGTCTATAAGCCTTTTTTGATAGCATATTTGAATCCAAAAACGAAACAGAAACTTTAGAAAACAGTTTTGAATTTTTTTGGTCTGATTAGAGAACTCTCATTTTCGAATACGTCTTTCGATTTTTTTGACAAAGAAGAGAGGGAGTATCTTCTCATATGGCAATAGGTGACTTTTTATAATATCAAACCATTGTCACGGAAAATTGATTAACCGTCATGATATTTCTCTTAATGCGGTTGCTTTCTTACTTTCACTTTGTGAATGGACCTTGTATTTGTCAATAAGGACAGAGAATTGTTGCTGATATTCTTGAATTTGACTATATAAATTTTTATCAAGAGATTTTTTGTTCTTCTTGATATTTTTAGTTAAGAGATCCGCTAATTGATCAAATGTTTGATGTAATATAGAAAACCATGGACTCCAAAATGATGAATTGACTTGAAAATCAGAATTAGGATTTGTTCTTAAAATACTGTCAATCTCTTCTAGTATCTGTGATAACGACTCGAGGTCTTGTTTGCATGAACCTTGAGTTTTCGACAGAAATTGTTTGAAAATCGCAATACTATCGCATGTAGTCAAAGCAGTCTCAATCAAATTAGATGAATTCGTTGTTGCCATTATTGGTTCACTGTTGTCGAAGAATTACGCCTACCTATAAAAAACGCAAAAAACACAACTGAAGGAATTATTTAAAAAAGTAATGTGGTATTTGTTTGCTGCTAATAGCAACTTGTATACAGATAAAGTCTTTTTTTTTCTTTCTTTCTTTCGTCGAGCTTTCGTTGTTGTCGTCGCATATTTTACATGCGCATGCAGAGTGCTTTATTTTTTTTTTAAATATATTGTGTCAAAATTACATGTTCTTCTGTATTTACTCAAATATGCTCTCTATTGCTTGAAGTTGGAGACATATAGTTCGCATAATATTATTATATAGATGTATGTTTGAACATTGAGATTTTCGCCACTCAAAATGGACTAAAGTAGAAGAGGATTGGAGAAAAGACAAAGATCTTACAATGAACGCTTGTAGAGACAAATGTTTGAAAAGTAATTTTAAAAAATACGCCCAGGAACGTTCAAACACATCTGAAACGTCAAATCAAGGCAATTGGCTAGAGATTCAATGAGAATGAAAGTTTGAAAGGATTTCTACGATTTGGATCAATTGTATAGCTATCGTACCATTTGTGTAAGAAGTGTAATTTTAGAATAAAGCCAGATATTCTTCACTAATTTTTCTGATTTTCCTTTGCTAGTACTTCTTATTATTTTTCAAACTTTCTGAAAGTTTCAGCCTTCTAGTTCAACTCTACATGGATATTTAGAGACCACAAGGTTAACGAACCCATAATCTAGTGCTTTATGACTAAAAGAAAGGATGCTATATTGTTGATTCCTAAAGTTTTTTTCACTTTTGATCAGATATTATTTGGTAGCAATCAAAAGTGAATTTCCATTCACTGATTCAAATTTTGATCTATGATCCTGGCATGAAAATTGGGTGTAAAACATGGATGTGGATGCTCATCGTCTCTGCATCCATGGTCACATTCGTACTTTATACTCTTGAAAATAGTTTAAAACTGTTTTGCATCGATAAGTTTGATGAACAGTCGTTTAGAAACAGATAAAATACTTCGATAAACTTTACAGTCACTAGACTTAATACGATTCGATTTATTTTATCGAAATAAATTAAAATAAACATCTATAAAAACAACCACAATTAAAGATGAAAATTATTCAGTATGTTGGAATTATTAAAAACAAATCATTGTCGAACGTTTTCCTACACATTGAAAGAAAAATATAAATATTTGCCCATTAGTTATTAGTTTTCAAGTTTGATTCTATTATGAAAAACTCGCTGTTTGAATTTATGATTAAAAAATAAAATTGTTTATAAATGATGAATTAAATAAATATACAATTATATGATTTCGTGTTTTCTTTTTGAAAAAAAAAATATTTCTTTTTAAATAAATATAATTGAAAATTGAAATAAGTTATATTGTTCGAATTTATATTGACAATATTCGTGCTTAGTGTCTTTGCATTTTTCGTATTGCTCTCTTATCTTTATTACATTTCGTATTATCAACCTATTTCAACGGACATAAGGAAGGCCAATATTTCAAAACAGTAGTAAATGATAATAAAATGAATTATTATTTCTAATATAATTCTGATTTAAATTATATTTCATTGGTATTTTATTGATTACATCTTATTGATATTTATGTTTCTTTTTATCTGAATGTATAGAAAAAGATAATGGTCAACATTAACATTGATTTATTATTATTATCTTAAAAAAAAAGTAGGTTTGATTAATGATATGTCAATCCAATGTTTATCATCAAGAGAAAAAAGTAAAGGTATAAGTCAATTTTCTAATATACTTATATAAAAGAATCTAAGATATAACTAGTTGAATATAGTCGATGTTTTTTTTTCAATATCTTAAAATAAAATGAATTATTTTGATGTGTTGTTTAATATTGATACATTATTTATTATGTATAAAAATTTTTTGAGCAAAATTAGAAATAATTCAGAAAAAACATTCTTTTATAAATTATTAGTTGTTATGTTAATATGCTTGTCTTAAATGTTTTACTAGTATTTTTTTTTAATCGACCTATACTTTATATTCATAGGTATTCCACTATAGAGTCGAAATTTCATTGAAAAAAAATATACGAAAACAAACTATCATTTAGATTGAATAATTCTACAAAAGAAAAATAAATTAGATAATACCGATGTGATATTATTACTCATATTTTGTATTTTTCAATTTTGCTTTAACAGGTGTATTTCAGTTAAAATATGAATAAGAGAATAATAACTATTCATTCTTGTTTTAAATTGAGCATCATTACAGTAACAAGTTATAGCTATATTTTTCGTTACTAAGAAAATTGGGATCTAAAAGAGTTCAGCATTCGGAAGAAAATTAGAAAAATTCAGAAACTTTTTCCTTTTTTTTTTGTGAGAAGATATGGCAGCACTGTGTTTGACTCAATTTGTAGAAAAATCACAGAAAATAAAGAAACCATGAGACTCAAGAACTTCCAAGACATTATTTATAAGAAATTCCACAAACTATCGATTTTTAAAAAATATATGACTTCAAAAAATTGATAATTGTGAAAAATTTACAAAAAACAAAAAACGGCAATCTAAAAACAAAGTGGTTTTCTCTTACAAGCAATATAAATTTCTGGTGACATATTGTATGACTTGTATCGACAAAAATGAATCCTGAAACAACTATTGAGAAGGAACAGCCGGATGACGCATATTATGAATACATTTTTAGGAAATCATATCATAATAGTAGTCAAAAAAAAATTATCATCGATTAAATGTCTTCATGGATGGATACAGTTATTTAAATTGACTATTATGGGATCACTTTAGGAGGCCAAAGGTTAAAAAACAAAAATTTATAGTATATTGAAAGTAGTTAAAAGGACAAAGTCAATCTTTGTAGAAAAGAGTCAAAATCAAAAAGGTAACATTGGTTAATATTTTCATAAAATGTGATATTAAATTATGTCTAAGTAAACGAGACACATATCAATCACATTCATAGTTAATGATGCATAGTTTTGTTTTGTTTTTTTTTATAATGATTTGCGTTGTTTATTCCAAAGTATAAAATAATCTATTTGTATTTGAATGCATTACAAAAATAATACAGTAACTATTAAGTAAGAAAAAAAAAATTTTGTTGACATAATTCGAAAAGAAAATCATGTCTAATTCATTAATGATGAACAAACAAAATCAAGATACTGTTCTTAATATGATTCCTACACGAAATTCTTCTGTAGAATCACAAAGAATTTTTTCAATAACAAATGAACAATTAGAAACAATATTAGAACGATTAATAAAATTACAAAGTCCTCCTGTTAATGTATCGAATGCGATTGGAAATCCAGGTCCTCTTGGTCTTGCTGCATTTTCATTACCAACATTTATGCTCTCAGTATTTAATGCTGGTTCAAATTTAATTGATCCTCGTTTAGAACTAGTTGTGTTACCAGTTGCATTTTTTTATGGTGGTTTAACACAATTTGTTGCTGGTATGTGGGAATTTCGAGTTAATAATACATTTGGTGCAACAACATTTACAAGTTATGGAGCTTTTTGGATGTCATTTGCTGCTTATATTTATTTCATTGTACCAAAAATTGAATCAATTAATAAAACAAAAAAAGCAACAGGACTTTTTCTTTTATCATGGTTTATTTTTACTATTTATATGAATATTGCTGCTTGGAGAATTTCAAAACTTTTATTTAGTTTGATTACTATATTGAATTTTGTATTTTTATTTTTAATAATTGGTCTTCTAGCTGATGTACCTGTATTGGTAAATATTGGAGGATGGCTAGGAATAATTCTTGCTGCTTTAGCATGGTATTCTTCAGCAGCTGCTATTATTAATACAACATATAAAAAAGTTTTATTACCAACGGGAGCTTACGTAGAAAAAGAAAAATCATCTAAAACTTTAACTACTCGTTTGTAATGAAATATTTCTTTATTTTATTTTCAACGATGTACATTTTTTTTTCTATCAAATGATTTGTTAATATCTGCAATTGAAATTTTTATCAAATAATTTATTTAATCGAGAGTTTGTTTTTTTTTTTATTAGATAAATCAAAAACGTGTTTGTTTTTAAATCTATTTAATAAGTCTTGAAAATAAATTTGTTGATTTCGTTTAAATTATTGTCAAATGTCGGCCGAAACAAATTATAAAAGTTTTTATCTTATCTTGAAATGTCTTTTGTGTAATTCTTTACAAACGTAGAAGCAAAGAAGATACCTTTATATCATAAGAAAACTTCTACAATCTAAAAATTTCTAGAATAAAAAAGGATGATATTATTATGTTCGTAAAGATTCTGGTCATTTTAAAAAAAATGCTGAGTGATATCAATATTTGATCATGGGAATCAGTCAAGAAAGTTCAACTAAATGAAGATATTCACTTTAGAGGATTGCAGTATGGTTTAATGTGAAGTAAAGAAAAGGTTTTCTGAAAATCGGCTTTCTTGTTAGTCTGTGAGAAAGGTCTGGTTATTTATTCTTTTGTTCGTGTTTTTTATTTATTTAAACAATTTGGATTGAAAGCTTTATCACTTACAAAACAAAATTTTATTTAAAAGAACAATTTTTTTGCTTTTACACTGATTTTTTTTTCTTCTTCATGTAAGTTTACAAATTATTCGTAAACTTGATCCTCGAATTTTTGTGTATTATTATTTTTTCTTGCAAGGTAATTTCATGTCGTGATATTGTTCTTTCCTTCATATGTACAGTAACTGAATCACACACAAAATGTACATCCTCATCATACATAACAAACAGGTGAAAGAAAAGAGAACAAGGTCGAAAAAACATGTTGACATCAGAGAGGTTATAATAGCCAAAAGTACCTGAAAAAAAAGTTCATTACTCAGAGTAAGAAGATGTTTACCAGTAGTAGAGGTTTTACTATAGAATAAAAACCAAAATTTTTATTTTAAATGATAGAAATGCATTTTGTAAACAATAATAAAATAATTAGAGCTAAAGAGTTTGAATTTTCAGCATCGTGTATAGTCAACAATATAATTCTTTTAATTTTATTGATAGAGACATGATAAGTTTTGAAAATGACTTGTATCCAACATAGATCATATATAGTGTTCCGAGTATAAGAATTATGCTTACAAAGATTTTTTAGACAATCAAATGAGAAAAATTTTCAACATATGACCTCCAATGAGATTTTTATATCTTTCAAATGAAAATAGTTACAGATTTAACTCTTATGCTGATCAATAGAATATGTCCTTGCTTTATAACCATTATATGATGATTGGAAATCCTTATTTTATCTAGATTGGATATAAATAGTGCTGAAAACTCATCAAATTTTTAGTAAGAAAAACAAGAAAATTCTTTCTACACCGTATGAAAATATAAAGTGCTGCTCATTGCCAATTTTTACACATCATTTTAATAGATCAAAGAGTAACATTGAATCTGCTTTCTTAACAAAGATTCGACATAATTATTGAAGCGTTCAGGTAAACTGAATCTCGTTTTCGCAATTGAGATAAAAATGTATTAGACTAAAGCCGAAGTTGGAATGATAACAGATTCAGAGACGACGACGACAACGTAGAGAAAAGTGAAACGGTAGAGAGCTTCACGATATATGTAAGATGAGTATGAATGTAAAAGGTGACAACAATGTTAGATACGCTTTCGGCATAATCATGCAAATGTTTAACAGACAGATTACTGAGATGACTACGAATTTCATTCGACTAATTACGAAAGTAATACTTATAAAGATCAAAAACAACCCTTACATCAATGATTATGCATATATTACTGTTTTCCAGAACAGTTCTAACACAGAGTGGGTTGAACATGTATCTTAATTAATGTTTGTTGTGACTCTTTACATAGAATATAATCATTCGTCTCATAAAAGCGCTGTGAAGATAAATCTGGAAATCATTTTTTATGTGATTCTAGCCTAGATTGAATTGTTTTCGCAAAGATCTTGTTGTAACATCGACTTATTTAGAAAAATATATCATTTGAGAGATGGTTGCATATATCAATGTATCCAAAGAAGTTATATCTTTTTTCTGCAGTGGAGATTGTTCTAAAAGATATAGCACAAGACACAAAGAAAATTTTCAACTGGCAAAATAAATCGCTTTTTGTATGTCATCGTACAGTGAAAGAAATTACACGTGAAACATGTGTCAATGTTAGTCCATTGCGTTGTTGTCAAATCGATGATGATCAAGTTAAGAAACCGTAATGGTTCATCGTAATCAGCATTTACATTTATCTGGATATGTGCAAACGAATATTGTATCTAGAGCAGCGAATAAAATCGCATGGCCTCTTGATTATTCTTGTTTCAGGATACATATCAAATCCTGATGACGGTAAATACGGACGTTTCTTGCGCTTGTCACGATTCGGATTATGATGCCAAGGGTCGTATCTGAAAGGATTCGATACTATGTAATCCTGAGGTTCCTAAATACGTCTTTAAAGATTAAAGTACCATTGTCATCAGCTAGAACTGGCATAAACAACTCTGACTTACACAAGAGTCTTGCTTCTATTTCTTTTATATTTTCTAAATGTTAATGTATTCTCTTCCGTCGTATAAGCAAGGAAGCAACGGCGTACTTTAAGTCGAAAAGTACACCAAAGTAAAAAAGTAGTTTAAAGTAACTTGAAATAGTTTAAAGTCCTCAAAAGTAATATAAAGTAAACCAAAGTACTTTAAGAGCCAGTCGATATAAGCGACGACTGAACTAGCTCAATGTAATATATATTGTAGAGAGAAGAGTTTTATAAGTTTTGCTGCAAATCGTTTTAAAAAATATTGAAACTTCGGTATTTTATGAACGTTTTACGAAAAGTCTCAAAAATGACCATTTCCATCACGGGGACCCCTATTGTGGCTATATCTCAAAATGGGCTCTATCGATTGAGCTGAAATTTTCTACAGACATGTAATTTTGTGAGTTTTACTCACCATAAAATTTTTGATACAAAATATTGAACCATTAAAATTTTATGGTTTCTCCAATATGAGAGTGGGTGTGAGTGGACATGAGTCTTCTTTCTATTCACATCCTCTTTCTTGTGTTGGACAATATTTCGGTAAAAGACAAACGTAAATAAGATATATAGTGAATAATAGTCCATAGTCTTCGTCCTATATATAAGAATTAATTACTATCTGTTGTTCTTCATCTTGCTTGTTTTTTAATCTTCTTGTTATTTCCTTCATTTTCTTATGCTTCTGATTGTCCGATTCGACTAGTTTCTTTGATTATGCTTGATTGACAAATGAATTGAAAGTCCTTAATATGAATGACAATCATTGTATTTCCAGATTTTGACGTTTCTTTCAATAAAACCTAAGTACTTTGGCTTCAATTATAGATGACTATTATCCAAATAAGTCGAATATCTGAGTCATTTCTGTTCTGTTTTATGTTTCCTCATGTAACCGAAAACATCGTTGAGTAACACATACAAGTGTAAACAGTGTTTCTGAAATTATCACTGAGACAGTTGTTTATGGATATTTTCAGTTCAAATAAAATGCACTGTCATTTGCTTGTGTCGCTAACGTAGCAACACGTCTAATATTGTAGTAGCACAACGTTGAAATGTTAAGATTTTGAATTAGAAAAAAAAAAGGCGCACTGGAAGGTTTTTTCATTTATGGTTGGATAGATTGTGACGGACAGTTAAACCAAACTTTCTTCTCTGAATGATTGATTAAAAAAATTTGAAGAAGATGTATGTTTATTTTTGGGAGCATGGATATGTGGTACATGGCAGAGCGACTACAAACGTCATGAAGACCAACACTACAGCGGTCCTCTGTCTGCATAAAACATTGATCTCTGTAGTTTTTATTGTCATATCAAGCAAAAGCTTTTAGAAGTATTTTTCAATTGTTCGTTTAATGAAATACAAATAACAAATAATGCGTTGCATATTATATATTAATTGTAAAAATCTCGTGTTGGATTAATTTTTTTAATAATTTTTCATTTCTTTGTAATTGTAATATATCAATACAGCTTTGCCCTTTAAAATACGTTCTTTGTAAATTTGATCCCATTTTAATTAATAATTCAATAATTCGATGTCGACAACCATAAACCTTGAGACATATAAAGTAAAGAATCATTACCATCTATATCTAATTGATGAATAAGAGATGGTGATAATTTTAATATTTTTTTTCCAATAATTTAAGTTCTTTTTTATCTAATAAAATAAATATCGAATCATCTTTCGGAAACAACAGCTCCAATAATTCCTCATCTTCAATCATACAAAAAAGTTTTCTTTCCTCTCAATTTGTTGTCATTAAGTCTAGACATTCTCAAGTATAATTTCGTATATTAAAGAATTGTTCAAATCCAACATCACGATAAATATATATCAAAACATCTGATTGATTGTTCACAACTAATTTTTTTAATATTCATCTAAACCTATACATAAAATAATCGTTCCATGGTTTATTTACTTCGAATATAACATATTCATGAATAACTATTTTTAGTATTTCCTATTGAATGGCTTGAATAAACATATCGTTATTTATCTTTGAAATCATTTTGAAAAATACTAAACATACTCTCTCAAACATCATATCCATTTTCAAATATTTGCTTCTGACATTGTATAATAAAAAGAAATAAATCAACTGTAGCTCGATAATATTTCATCTTGACAGAAATTGAAGATCTACTATAATAAAAATATTCCTATTTATATAGAGTACATAGAAGAAAATATTCAAGATCACGACCAAAATAATTTCGATTATATATATGAGAGAGATATTTGAAATAATTAGAATTTTAAATAATTCTAAAAATGAATTAATTGATATTGAACATTTAGATTGAGCATCATTAATATGAGAAAGAAGTAATTCATCTACAGCTTTAGTCAGATTAAATTGACATAATTCATAATCGTCACATGCACATCGAGCACTTGTTTTTAACACAAGTGATTTAATAAGTGTTTAATAGATTCTATAGATATAGAACTATTGTGCAAATGATTAAGTTCTTGTTCCATTAGATGATCTATACTTTAACCTTTTTATCCTTGGTCAATAATTGATGAATAGATTTAAATTTCTCTAAAAATGATTGAAGTTCGTGTCCTAGTTGAATATATTTTTGTTGTATATGAAAATTAAGTCATGTTTGTAAAATTGAAGAAAGTTTTTGTTCATTGACTGTTATATCGATAGATAATAATTGTTTCGATAATTGTTGAAACACTTGAGAATTATAATAATCATCCCATACATTAATATGTAAAAAAAATCAGTTAATAAATGCAAACGTTTGTCAATAAGAATCATATTTAAACGTTGATTTAAATCAAGAAATATTTTTAATATTGTAAAAGTATCACCACAATATTTCAAAATGATCATTATAATTTCATCAGGTAAAGTATCAAAAGTTGACAACATTGTCCATGTTTTTTTTTTCTAATAGTAACTATATGGTTAACCAAATAGAATCATTCTTCTTTTCATTTTGAAACATGCATGTAATTACGCGATCCCTCAATTCTATTTTTCATGATTTTGCAGCATTCTGTATACGTTTTTAAGCAGATTACGAAATAAAATAGCTGAGATGTCTATTACTTCAGTTACTTTTTTCGAATGACATCACAAAACTACAAGCCTTTAGACAGAATTTCAATGTCTGCCAATGTAGCACTCCCAGACTTGATACATCTCATAGATACAATAGTGAACAAAAGTTTTCGCCTCTGTCAATCTCGACTACTCTGTATGTCGGAGATCTTATTAAAGTTTGAACATGTTTCATTGAATTATCACGGAGTTATTGACATTCAAACGTACAGCGAACAATTTCTTTCCAAAACAATGATCACAATAAAATGAGCTTAGCCTTTGAAAGAATTGATGAACTTCAATGACATTAGTATTGCGGATAGCTCGTACATAGCATTGCATGTTATGGAGTTGACTGACACAGAATACTCCGCCTTTGCAAAGTTATGAGGCTGAGAATATACGTAAAATGAATGCTATCCATTATTACTCCCTTTCTCATCCAGTAATAACGGCGTCACAATACCAATGGTTTATATTCTTGATGACGTACGTTGACAGAGATTGCGAGGCCTTCAGCACCAAGAGTAGCCGAGATCTGGTGAGCCGAAAACTTTTATCCAGTACTATCAGTAGCAATGAAATTCGAAACATGTTTTTAAATATCATCACGGCGCAACAGCGACAGATTTTCAGGATGTGGGTGTGTGGATGCGGTATCTGCGATGTGAGTTGAATGTGAATTTTACTTCCATAAACACCCATCATCCACGCCTACCCACAGCCATACCCACCCACACCCTTGTATTAATTAATGTAAAATAAGACAATAGCCTAGCAATGAAAAAGAAATAAAGACAAAAAGAATAAGAAACATTCTTGACGTACGTGATACATTGACTAAGAGTAGTTATGATGCATCTGTTTGTTGTTCATTAAGTCCTCAAGAAAAAAACAAAATAAATAAGACTGAGGGTGTGTATGGTTGCGGCTGTGCGTATAAAACTGATCTGGACTTACATCCACACCCACATCTATACCCTGCGGTTGTCAATAAAAACTTAAGGGTGAAGGTCGATGTTCGACTGTTCTTCTAAGAGTGATAATATAGTATATATGGTTCAAACATGGGATCTGACTGTCAGTCTATTAAGAAAAAAAACTTGGAAAGACTTCAACGTTGCTTTATTTTTGGAAGACCCAATATAAATGACTCAAATGTTGGCTTACATCTATCAACTTACACATTGAAATCTGAATGGAATTAGTACATTTTTTTTAATATTAAACTGGTAATCGATATTGTCACTCTTCAATTTTCGTCGACTGAGTGAGAAAAAAAATCAGTAAAAAATTGGGCTTTTTCCCGTTAAATTATGTGCTTTAGGTGGCCAAAGATAAAATTGTTGCTTGTGAAAGAAAGTAAGTCTGACACAATAACTAACACAAAATTGTAAAAGAAACAAAGATAAAATAGTTCTTTTATGACTTCATTTTGCGTAAAAAGTGCACCTGTCAACGAGCTAAAACACGGCAAAATAAGCCTTTATCTGAATGATGAGGCTTAGTGACAGAACAAAAACAGTCGAAATAAAAAAGAGATACATTTGTTCTTTATTCATTGAAATATATTTACTTTGGTGATTTCCACTTGACGTATAAGTAACATAGAAAACGAGTGTATTTTCTTTGTTTCTCTTTTGTGAAACTCACATATATTTTCGAAGAAAATAGTGAGTATAAGTTTTACGGTCAAGTTTTTGTGATTCTCTCTTCCCCTCCCCTTACAGACATCCCCATTACAGACCGTAGCTATTTCACCAAAAAAAAAGAAAAAAATTCTGTTCGAAATATAGAGATAAAAAAACAGTATTTTTTGATTAGTATAGTGAAATCAAAGAATATATGTGAGTTCCACATTTCAGCCCCAAAGGGGCTGCGCTAACAAGCTTTTTTTTGTCTAGAATCAATCCAATTCTTTTTTAAATGGCAACCAGTAACAGCTATGAATATATCAATGAAAGATCAATAAATGAAGAATTGCTCTGTTCTATATGTACTGATCCATTTGAAGATCCTCTGTGTGCCAATCAATGTGGACATACATTTTGTCGAAAATGTATAACTGATACATTTTGTCGAAAATGTATAACTGATACATTTTGTCGAAAATGTATAACTGATACATTTCGTGATATGTCAAGATGTCCAACATGTCGTCATGATTTGAAACTTGAAGATTTTCATCCAGTCACTATACGTCCTTTTCTTAATCAACTAAATCAATTACTTGTGAAATGTAAATGGTGTTCGCAAAGTAATATTGAACGTGGTAATTTCAAGGATCACTTGTCAAATTGTGTCGAAGAAATTTTATCATGTCCAGCAGCCAATCTTAAATGTGATTGGAAAGGAAAACGTGATAAAATACAAGATCATGTTAGTATATGTCCATTAATAAAGGTTCAACCGATGATCGTTGAACTCACTGATTTAGTTAAACAACAATCAGAACAAATACGTTGTCTCGATACATTAGTTAAACAACAATTAGGGCAAATCCGTTTTCTCTATACAATACTTGAGACACAAGCGAAGCACAACCAATGAGGCGTGTGAAGAAAATTACGTTGAAAATACAGTATTATGTGATATCTGTGATCAAAAATTTGAATTCCAGGGATCGATACATCAACTGCACTATTGTCCAGAAACAGACATTTGTTCTGATTGTGTGAAAAACTATTTCCCATAAACAAATCATCGTTTTAATGATTATATTCTACATGAAGTGTCAATAAAAACTATAAGAAATGAAAATTATATTGTTTTGCTATCACATGTCGTATTGCCAAGAGAATAGATAGAGACTTACCTAGTTCATAAGCCTATTTTGAACATAAAACTTCTCGGTCAAATGATCCTTTTTTTAGAACTCACATATATTTTTCAAAGAAAAACGATGAGAAGTGTGGTTATGTGGGTGTCAATGGAGGTGAGAGCTGAACGAAATGCTAGGATATGGTGTGGGTATGAGTTTAGATATGAAGTATTGACCTTTCATTCACCTACTCCCACACTCCACGCCGGCTTATCACCTATGTTATACATATATTTCAAATTTATATACACTTGCTGTACAACTTGTTGATAGAAGCGGAATAAAAAGTATCGTTGTTATACCATTAAGTACACAGAATATCATACCATTCAATTCGACAAAACTGAATATTCAATTGAAACTTTTCGTCATGAAATTTATATCATCACTTGAAAGATGTACAAATCAATCTGAGGAAGAGATGAAACAATGAGTTTTCTTGGCTTAACGGACAAAAAACTAACTGTTTCTTTTGTCCTTATTTATATAGGTGGGATAATAGTGCCGCTCAATTTATAATACAAATGCAGACAAATAATAGTCAAGGATTCTGTGTTCAAACACAAAAAGTTAAATCTACTGAACCAGTCCATTACACAATATGTACACAAGTCAAAATCGAGGAGATTTTAGCTAAATTCTTGACAAAAATCAATTCGGGAAAATTTTATTCATGTCAACAGAAATTGAATCACCAATATAATATAACATTACAGCAATGTATGCAGACATTTGAAAATAGGTTAATACAAACTACTATAGCAGGAAGAAATAACTTTTGGACATCTATTTTTCTTTCGATTTATTACTCTTTTGTGTATATCATTAACTATTGCACTTTAACAGGAAGAAAAATATTTCTTTATTTACAAATACTTATGTTTCATTTTTTTGATTAGTCTAAGGATGATTTCAATCTGATTTCAGAAGAATATGATTACCAATACATTTGATCATATAGTTAGAGAGTAATTTTTCAGTATCGATCAGTTTTTGTAATTTTTGAACCATATCTTCATTGGCATTTTGAATAGAAAGACATAAGAAACGAAGATCAAAATTGTATGTACTGGCTTGTATTAAAATAAATCGTACGAGCATTTTGAGATTCATGTGTTTTGAAATATTCACTTGAAAATATTGTATACAAGGACAGAGATGAAGAAGAAAATGCACTTGTTCCATATTAATCATTTCGTCAAGATTGACATTTGTAATTTTACTATTGATCGATGTTGAAAAACTAGTCTCTCCATCGCTTTTAACCAACCAATCGGATTCAATACATGATAAAGATGATACTTTCAATGAATCAAGATTCGATAACAAATGTATGATTCTAACAAACATTCCAATAGGTATGGCCTCACAGCTAATCTTCAAACGAGTAAATGGAACAGAAAGAAATGTAGATTTGAATTTATTCATAAATAATTGATCTTGTTCATCAAATGAACTACTATTGATACAGAGTTGAATAATTGGAAGTAAGGCAAGTGAAGAATTGTTTGTATGTTCTTGATGAATATTGTCACTAAGATTTTTATTGAAATATTTAGCAATCTCTGAATGTTTATAAATATCAAGCCATATATTCCTGAAAAGAAAATTTTTTGGATAGATCAATAGAAAAGATTCTAAACGAATGTACCTATATGGATGAATTGAGCAATGAAGACTTTCTTCATCTATATTGATTCCAAATTCAAAAAACCATTGATGTTTAATCCAAAATTGTGAAGTAAATCGATTGATTTTTGTATGAAAATCATCATCTGCATAATCCGTTATATCCTTGTCATGATATTCGTAGTCGAATGTAAGCAAATAAGGTATACGTATTTTAATTAATTGTTCCCAATCATTAGGATCAAGATAATCTGAGCCCGTATGATATTTAATACGCAATACATGTACTGGAGCAAATAGTTTCGACATAAATATTACAAAGTCATCAAACCATGCTTCATACATATCAAAAGAAATATGTTTCAAATCGTATAACATTATTGGCTTTACATCTTGAAATTTTTCATGTGATTCTGTGACGTTTTTACAAATCAAATGATGTAGTCGAGGTGTATGATAAAGTATAGAGAATATTTCATTCAATGTGCAACAATGATCGATGACTAAATACTCGATTGTACTAAATTTTTCGTTAATAGCTAGAGGTACGAAAATATTCGTATGTTCATCTTCAGAAGATGATAATACCGATAACTTAAAGTATTTTAATGACGGAAATGAGAAAATCATCCGATAGATGTCATTAAGATTATAGTCCCATTGCTCATCAATATATATAGTTAATGAAAAAAGATGAGGCAATAAATTCAAATAAAACAGAAGTATGATAGATGTGTCTACGTCCATGTTTCGAAGAACAATTGATTGAAGACGAGTAAATGATAAATCCATGATACAATATGTAAAAAAACCATTGATAAGAAAGTCATTTTTTAAATACAACGAAAGAATACGATGTCTATTCGGAATAATAAAATTTTGACAGGAATCTATCAACTCTCGTATAGTCCGTGAATCAAATTGAATCTTGAGTGAAAGTAATGAATTGTTAATGATATCTTGAAAACGAGAATTTAGATTTAAAAATCCTCCATAAATATCCCAACAAGCAAGATACTCAAAAATTTCATAGAACAGTTCATTGGACAAATTTTCAATACAACTAATCGATATCCTAGACAAAGATCGAATTCAACAAAAGAAAAAAGTATTGATTCACTTACTTTTCTTGTTTAAACGTTGCTAAAAAACTCAAATGAGAAATTAATCATATATGCAATTAAAAACTTACTTTGTAATTTTTTTCTTTGAACAATAAAAGATTCACTAGGATTTGATTCTCGCTTCATTTGATATATAATACACTATCGTTCATTCAACTATGTTTTTTGTTCCTCTCTGCAAGTCATGCACATTTATGATTGAACCCAATCATGCCTAGTCTGTTTTGTCTATGAACTTCGTCTGAACTAAGGCCCCGAACAGACTGAACACGATAAAACTGAATTAACCAATACAATTCGTGTTGTTATGCAAAAAGGTCAATCGTGTTTCTTAATTCACTTTGAATAAGTCAGTCTGTTCGGGGCCTAAACAGTAGAACACAAAAACATTCTAGCTGATTGGAACATTTGAATCGACACTGTTCAATAGCTGTCGTCCAGTCATTACGCAGGGTTAGACTGATGGCAATTTATAGTCTAAATATCAGAATGATTTCCGTCTTAATAATGAATCATGAGACTTGACCAAAGAATATTTGATTCATTCATTTTCGTAGTTGTAAGTCTGCATACTTCATATGTTTAGTGTGAGTATATGACATAATGTAACTTGATATATTTCGAAATTAGGTCTACACTCGCCTGTGTACCGGATCGAGTTGCAGGACTCTATTTTGAACAATCGCATTTCATTGAACTTCCATCTGTGCCAATCATCTTCCACATCAGCGGTGCATATAAGAATAATTGTATTTTCAGTAGAAGAATAAATGTTTATTAGTAAATATATGATAAATAAACATGTAAAAGAAAAAGAAAAATTAACTATCTTCTACAATAATCAAGTAAAATCAGAATATTCGATGCTTTTACTCGTAGAAGACATCCTAAAATCAATGAAATGTCAACAGACCTTGAAGTAAAAGGTCAAGTAAAATGAACTCGAAATTGTGTAAATTTGAAATTTTGAGCTCACTTTTCACCAGTCTATATTTAATAGTTTACAGCAAATGATAGGCTGCCATGAATCGGAGCCATAGACTGAGCATCATAGAACTGTAAATTAGTTAATCAATCACTTAAGGTATATTAAAAATAGTGGCAGTGACACTTTAATACTGTATCGTAAGCTTTAAGAAACTTTCGTTCTACATAGTCTAATAAAAAAAAAAGAATGCTTTCCCATGGCTTTAAAATCAATAAAAAATCGACGATTGTAACGAAAACGATGGACAGTAAGTTTCGTTACTACTACAGTGTTTATTTTAATGTTTATCAACATTGAGAAACTGGAACAGTAGTGATACTGTTATCCTCAGTGTACGATGTTCACAACACTACCTCATCATTCCAGTTCTGTTCATTTCGTACAGAACACGAGTTGTATACGAGAGAGAAAATAGGGAGAAGAGAATAAAAGGATAAACAGAGGACAGAGTGGAAAGGCAGCTACTATCGGTCATGAGGTCAGACCATTTAGCCGCAGCGTGACCGCTTGCCCTGATAACATTGGACAAATAGAGAATGCACAAAGGTCATGTCCTTATTATCGGCACAGCGATTAATCGCAATTTATCGAAACGATAATTATGTGCTGAATCGCGATAGAATCGTCGATTTTTCTCGATTATTTTGACAATTTTTGCGATGAATCATGATTTTATAGTCGATTTTGGCCTTGTATTCACCGATATTCTATGCGATTTCATTCATATAGAAGCTTTCTTTTAATTTCAAATCTTCAGAAGTATGTTAAATAACTGTGTAGAAATTATATTTGACTCTCAATTTGACAAACATTGAAAAGTTTCTTGAACTGATGCAAAAGTTCACAATCAATTATCGAAATCAGTGATTGAACACGATTTATTGCTCCAATTTATCACCGATTTTTTTAGCAAAATACGATTAATCATGATTTTCGCCACATGAATTATTTTTGTATGCTATTTGATCATACTTCAACAAATATCCTAATAATATATTTTCGATAAGATCTATTTCGTTCGGATATGTGCTAGTTGTAATTAGATCATAATGGGTGAGCAGATTTGACAGTCATGCTTTGTATATCAATTTTCAATTACTACGCTCTATTGAAAAAACAAAATATATCTCAAGATGCGATGTGAAGAGCTCTACAATTTACATAAGAACACTTATTATATAGTTACATTTTTGTTTTCAAAATGGATAAATTCGATGCGACTAATTTTCGAAGATCTTCGGATTTCATATCTTTTTCTTCACTAACAGCATTTATGCAGTTGTCGTTTACTATATTGTAGCCTGTATGTGTCTCTAGCAAGTAGATATCAGAATGAATGTGGAAGGAAATATAACTGGAACAGATATCAGTTGGTCTAAATTTGACCATCGATTATAGTTTTCGATATGACTCATTAACTAAAGGAATAAGAAAAGGAATTTGTCGAGTACCAAAAAATGATCTTGTTCACAGAGTCAAAAATTAATCTCATAGAATTTTGTCCATTTTGAAAGCAAAAAATGCATATATAAAATAAGCTGTTCTTGATAGATTGCAGAGCTTTTCATGCTGCATTTCGTGATAAATGTAGCTTTTTAATACAACGCATTAAGTGATGAAAAACCTAAATGGAAAAGGGAACCTTTTTTGTCTATGGGAAAGTTAAATATTACACGAAAACAGTTCTTATCGAAATTTTATTACGATAATATTAGTTGAATAGTCATCAAATAGCATGGAAAAATAGAGCATCGTTGGGTATGGATATTGGTGCGATTCTTCTATTCTTTGAAATCCATACTCACCCACACCCTAGTTACGGTCGATTCACCATAGACTTTATTCTTGCGTTTTTGGGTGTGGGTGGGTGTGGGTGTGGGTATGGGTATGGGTGGGTGTGGGTGGGGTGGGTGTGGGTATGGGTGTGGTGGTGTGTGGGTGTGGGTTAAGAGAAGATTAGAACTCACATCCACACTCACACCCACACTCACACTCACCCACATCCACACCCACACTCGCCCACATCTACACCTACACGCACACTCACACTCACCCACACCCACACCCCAACAAACTAATCTCATATATTGTATGCTAATTTTATTGACGATAACTTGTTGGATTTAAATTAATTGACGTACAATACTTGCAATTGAGTATTGAGATTTATTCTGGCTATGACTGTACAAAGAAGTTAACTGAGAAATATACCAATATCTCAGACACCAATCGATTTCATATTATGGTTACGACTAAGCCTTGGTGAGGTTAAGATAAGGTTAATAATCTTCGAGTCCTTGGCCTACGGATAAAGATTTATGGTGATTTTAATGAAATCTTTACTGACACCAAAACATCTGAGAAAAATGCAATACAAAGATTTTTTCCTATAGACATGTTTGATAGTCTGAATAGTTTGAATGAAAGTGATTATGTCTTCTCAAGATATTACATATACAAAAAATTAGTATCGACATACCACCAGAGGACACAACACTCGAATCTACTTGTAAATTGAATACTTCGAGAAAGATTTGTTTGTTTTGGGCGAAGATATATGTGTGAACGAAGAGTAGACGGAAACTCACATCCATCTACACAACCTGGACAAATAAAACAAAATTTTTTTTAGTAGAGTTTTTTATAGGATAGTCCAAGCAAAAAGAGTAAATCGGAAATAATAATTAGATTTTTAAAAAGGAATCGTGTCACACATCCGAGAAATCGGGGATCTTAGAGATCTCCATGGAGATCTCCACCGGGACCCCAAATAAAACAGTATTCACATGCCACCCGAATATTAGACAGACTTGCTATTACAATTCTTCTCTAGAAACAACATCCAATCTTTTAACAAATCTCCATAAGAGATACCGTAACTCTCGCGTCTCATCTCTACTCAGATCTGTACAATCTCGAACTCTTTCTTTCTTATTCAAGTGCTCATTGCTCGAATTAGAGTAGAAGAATTCAACATTTTCAATATATACTTCTTCTGAAAATAGAATTTCATCAAGTTATGTTCTATTTTCATTAGTTAATAATGATTTTTCTTCCTGCTTGTCATCATCTGTTGATGTCAAACTCGATGAAACTTTTTCAGCGCATGACATGCATGATAACTTGTCATGTTCTTCTATAAATATTGTTCATTGTTTTAATTTAGGAAATGAGAACTTAACGTTTTCATACCTTAATTTTAATAATAATTTATCATCAATTTCCTTTTCTAAGCAGAAAACAGAAAAAGAAAAAGCTAGGAATTTTTTGAAGAATGTTAAGTTGAATCGATTTTTTTAAATCACATTCAGTCAAAATCTATTGGAAAATTCTCGACTATAAATGATACAACTATTCATATAGTCAGACGTGTTAAAACATTAACGAAAGAGGAATTCTTCACAAAATAAATATGTAACCGATGTGGTAGCATATGCGCATACTGGTCTAAGTTCGTAATAGAAAACTTTTCAATATAAGCGATCTCGTGGGATCATAGTGTATGGTCAAAAGACTAAGTTTCTAGATACTGGACAATACAGTGCCATGAATTTCTTAATTTTAAAATGCAATATAGAACCACAAATCTCGGTATTTTTTTTTTCGTGCAACAGTTTCACAATAAAAGCAAAATTTTTCATATATTTAACCTGTTGATGAATCAATGTTTGACATTCAGTATATGTGAATGAATTAAGTTGATGCTATGCCGATATATTTTGTACTTCAATGGATAAACTTGGTGGTTTGACACTTTTAGTTGATATGTATTTATCAAATTATCGAATTTTTCATTTGACAATACTAATGATCGGCAAAGCTGGTGTCATTTAGCTAAAGTAAATGGTACGTTTTTAAAGTTACAGAGTTGTAAAACCAGCTTTTTCAAGTATAAGTGCTTGTCTTTGAATCTTTGATACCAGCAATTTCTGGCAAGACCATTTTTTTAAATTAATTCACCGAATAATGTGGTTAAAGCAGTTAAGTGAGGAAACCAAGACTTCCTTATTTGAGTGACAACGACAATCGGAACAACTTCACGAAGACAAATATATATGAGCAATAGATCAGCCAATTGATTAACAACATTATAGAATGCAATCAGAAACTTTCAGAACAACAAAAGCTTTGTGAGGCCACTCCAGTAATATGATTATTCACCAAATGCTTTTGTCGAACTGTAGGTGGTTTATTAGGTTCATCATTTTACTCATAATTAAAATTTTTAAATCATTTTCCAATCTGTGCATGAGTGAGGATTGGGCGAGTAGAAAGTTCTTTTAGCATGACCATCACTACTATTATACAAACATCTGAAAAAAATGAGCCTAATCTTTGGCAGACTAAAATGTGAAATACAATGCAGCTGCTGTCGCTCATCAGAGGACGATCACTTTTTTGTACAGACAGTTTTTGAGAGATCTTTTCTCATTTTCCTGTCATTCAATCTCTCAAAAATTCAATAACAAAGTAGTTAGTATGTTCTAATTGACCGTTATTAATATTCTATTGGTGACCATATATCAACAACATATGTCATAACTTGTAACTGGTTACTGCGGCGTCTGTCACGGTCTGTGGAATGTAGAGGTCATAGGACTGAATTCAACTTTTTATACTACGCAATTTTAGCATTTCTTTTACATCTTGTTTCACGAAAACAGAGGGTTCTGGTGTAAGTATGCTTGGGTGCGTGCGGGTCTTCATCTTGAAGGTATGAAAGTGGGTGTAAAAAACTGAAATCACACTCACACCCTGAATTGGATTTAGAATAAGGCAGAAAATGGAACTCTTTTTTTTATAGCGACTAAGACTTTTCGCTCACTTTTAACAAATATATTATGTCAGAGTTTCGAAATATTTTGATTCTTTCAAAATGAACATCTTCCTCAATGGATTCATACTAAACTGACTTTATTCGTGATGTTTATTGTTTCTGCAGAGTCATCTGTAGGAAACTCGAGGTAGAAAGAGAACCGTTTTATTTCTTATCTAAATGTTAACAGACGAATATCAGTGCTGTAGGCAACAATAGGACACATTTTCACGAAGAATCGTAATTTGCATTCTATATTCATAACAAGATCCTCTGTGAAGCGCATCAATAGAAAATTTACAATAGAACAATTAGTAATTACCGTTGCTGCTCCATCTACATGGTGTCCCAGAAATAATGTACCAAAAAGAAAACTGAGTATCTTCACTTCATTACAATCTACAGGGCTGATATTTTGCCTGATGATAGTGAAGCACTTTAAGTTTTCATTCTTATGAGTAGAGTGCACTAATAATGTTCAACGATATTAATTCTGACAGTAATATTGAAACTTCGACTTTTTCTATTGTTTAAAAGAGCTTTATTTTCAAATTGCTTCGTTTTTCGTGTCTTTTTTGTTGTTTCTGACTCGCTGACCTCATATACTGCCATTTCATAGCTATTTTTCACGTATCACTGAACTGGACACCAGTAGACATCTTTCTATTATGATATCAAAAAAAATTTCTATAAAATGACAGTATTGCTGTCAACAAGTTAGAAATAGCAAAAAGACATGAAAAACAAAGTAATTTGAAAATAAAGCCTTTTTGAGAAAAATTGAAAAAGTTGGAGTTTCAATATTATTGTTAAAATTGATGCCATTGTCCATTATCAGTGTGCTTCACTCATTAGAATAAAAATTTAGAGTACTCCTCTATCATTAGACAAAATATGGGCTCCTTACATTGTAATGAAGTGAAGATACTTAATTTTTTTTTGATAAATTATTATTATATACACTGTCAAAGCATAAAAAAATAACAGCATAGTTGCGTTGTGAGTGGATTCTTCTGTCTATCGTTAAATTACAAGTACAATTACCATGTCACTATACTCATCACGCAATTACAATGATGAATTGAGTTTGTAGTGTGTTTCAAATTTCATGATATAACTAGTCTTGAATTATAGATATACGAAATATAACAAAATATTTCTTTCAGTTTCCTCATACAAAAAGGAGAAGACGGAAAATCTAACTATTGGTATTAGACTTGTGTTGATTTCTAAATTTTTACCCAATCTATATACAGTCACTTATAGAAAGGTTTCTTAAAAGACCTATTCCAAATCACCATTCTTAGGGTAATTTGGCATCCCTTATATAATAGTTAGTCTCCCTGACACGATCGTAGAAGCATTACTAGAAAAAATATTTAGAAACTACACATGCCATTGATAGGTTAATAGGTTATCTTTACTGTCTATTCAAATTTTTTTATCATTTAACATAAAATGGTTATAAGTACTACAACACAATACTTTAATTTCTCTTACCAAATCGCTCCTTCTTACTCTATTTACAACGAAAGACCATTATAATACCGTTATACTCCGTTTCTAAATCTTTATGTAAATTGTTATTATCTTCCTGATTTCTTTGATTTTCTTCATAATATTGATATATTTTAGATACTTCTCTGACAGTGAAAAAATGCGAAGGTGAATGATAAAATGTATCAAAGTACATTTATTAAACAAAGATAATATACGTATATCGGTGGATTCTTCGATGGATCTTCTTTTTAAAATATAGAATAAAAATTGTGAATTACTCTGTGATTCATTTCCTTTATGGTCTTAGGAATCGTTGCTGCTTGGCAAAGATATGTTTGAAAAATGATGTGCAAAAGAGAGGTTTTCGATAAGAAATAAAAAAGAGTTGACATATAGTTCGGATGATTTTAATTTATTTAACTAAAAAATGATTAGTAACGATATGAATGCACGAAATCAATTCATTGATAAGCAACCTATTTTAACTACTCAAGCAAAATACCAAATACAGGTTACACGCATGTATACTGCGAAAAACGTTATATAGCTATAGTATAGCAAGTGTGTTATTTTTGCTTGTCACTGTGTGCAAGCATATAACAGATATAGATAAAGATATGTGTTATCTTTTTATGCTTCATCGTTGTGTGTATATGATATTTCTCATTCACTGAATCTAGGTTTATTGTTAAGAATGGCACAAATTCTCGTTATGCATACATGTAAGAACTAAAGGAAATGAAATAAACGAATAAATGATGTTGCTTTTCTATTGAAGTTCTTATCCTGTGTTGTCTTTTATTCTTGACATCAGCTATAATAAGTCCGTGTGCACGATGGAATACAACAGGTGTTACTGTAGCTGGTGGCGTAAAAGGTAACTTATCTGATCAATTGGATGGGCCTGAAGGAATATTTGTATACAAGCCGCTGAATAGATTATATGTGGCTGACTTCAACAACCAACGTATTCAAATGTTTTCACTTAATCAATCATCGCATACAGGTGTTACAGTAGCATCCAATGTCACGTATCCTTCAAATGTCTATGTCGACGATGACGGAAATCCAGAGCCTACTGTCTATGCGGCACTTTATAAGTCAGATCGCGTCAATCAATGGGTTAATGGATCAAAGGAAGCTGTACAAGTGGGTGGTGAATGCCGCTCATGTACAGGCATAGCAATAGACAACGAGAAAAATGTCTATATGTCGGAACCGACTAGACATCGAGTGCTTAAATGGTCACGTCGGACAAATAATACTACAGTTATTGCCGGTCAAACAGATCAACCAGGATCGACGAGTAACCAATTCCAGAGGCCTCAAGGTATTCATATTGATCGAATCCACGGGACATTATATGTGGCCGATTCAGATAATAATCGCGTGCAAAAATGGTTAAAAAATTCACAAGACGGTGTTACTCGAGCAGGGTCAAGTTTGGGTGTGGCAGGCAATGATTCTGCATCATTCTCGGACCCAATTAGTGTTACAGTTGATGAAGTAACTAATATCTTATATGTAGCTGATTTTAATAATAGACGAATTCAACGTTGGCTACCAAATGCAACCAAAGGCGAAACCATTGCACAAGGATCGGGTATGCTCTTTACTTCAAAAAAATTAATTGAAGTATTTTTAAAGGAAAATTAAGATTATTTACGAGGGAAGGTCCCAGATGATTAAAAGCTTTTGAGATTGGCAAAATAGAACACCCTTCAAAGGGTTCGTGTTGAGGTTCAGATTTGACCAAGATATTGAATTTTTAGTGGATTTTCCCTGTATGAACCCCGTTTTTTTATGTAATCTTGTTGTCGAGTTATTATCTGAAAACTTTGCCCAGATGAAGGTCTCAGTGAGTGTAGCTTATGCACAAAACTTCAGCAGTTTTCAATGGAATGTTTCTAAGATATGACTTTTTTAGACTTTCGATGCTGCTCTATTAATATAGTGTAAGGCACGCATATTTTGGAGAATGCATACTTCAGAGACATTCGATTGAAAGCTGCTGAAATTTTGTGCAGGAGCTACACTCACTGAGACCTTCATCTGAACAAAGTTTTCGAATAATAACTCTACAACAAGATCTTATCAAAAAAGAATTTGGTCCATTCAGGGAAAATCCACTAAAAATTCAGTATCTCGGTCAAGTCTTAACCTTAACATGAACCCTTTGGAGGATGTTCTAGTCTACCGATCTCCTACTATTGGGCAATACATGAGATCAAAAACTTCTAATCCTTTGGGGACCTTCCCTCGTTAGTCAAGTTCTTCTTTTTGTTTTATCTAAATATAATCGATTGAGATCGATTTATTTTCATTTCAATCGCAAATTATGCCACTAACAGTCAACAGTTGTCGATAGAGAATCAATTTCCATAAATCAATAATGAAAAATTGAAATCGATTCTCTGTTAGAAGTATTTCTAGATGAAATGAAAAGAAATTGATTCCCATTTTGCTTTATTATTTAGATCATACCAGTGTCATCAATCAATTCTACGATCCGACTGACTTTGCATTCGATAGTCAAGGCAACTTGTATGTGTGTGACTATTTCAATAATCGAGTTCTTATGTTTGCTATAGACAATCGATCATGCAATTCACCATCTGCAGGTAATATTTGTGCCTGAGAATTATTTTTATTGATTCTATTTTTTTTTGTATAGCAAGTTCATTGTTGAGCAAGTAAGTTAGAGAAAGATATAACTTATACATGAAACAATAGATTTTCTAGGACGACAATAGCTATGATCGCTTGCTCAATATTCATATGGATCACGGTGACTCTATTTTGTGATTATTCACAAGCTTCCTGATGGTATTAATTAAACATGTTTCTATTGATCATTATTTTTTTGTTGAACATGAATCATATCACATCAGTGAAAGTTTATTCAATTTTCGGGTTTGTTTCATTAATAATCAGTTTCGTTGATTCTTCAATGATGAAATGAAGTAGTATTTTATATAGTTGTAAGATCATCTGCAAAATAATGGCTTGCAATAGTTGTTTGTTTTCGTGTGATGATTATTTATTCTCATAATAGTTGTCAAGAGAAAGAGAAAAGAGAAGGATCGTAAACCTATAAAATTTGTCATCGATGGCAGATTGCAAATCATTTCAATTACTTCTTGTTGAACTTTAATTCAAATAAGAAGAAAATATTTTTTTTTCATTTTTCCAAGGCAATAGCTGTATTGTTGATATGCAAACGAATAAAAAAGATGTCATACACTACATATAGTTTAATAAGAAACTTCACAACGAACAAACTTGGAGAAATATATTGAGTATATGCTCTCAGAAGACTTTCACAGGAACAAAACAGAAAAAGTAAAAATACTTAAAGGGTGTGGGTGTGGGTGCGAGTGTGGGTGTAGGAATGAGAGTGAATGTGGGTGGGTGTGGGGTGGATGTGGATGTGGGTGTGCCTTCGATTCTTCTCAATAGATATCCACACCGACACGCACACACACCCACACCCACATCCACACCCACACCCCTAACGGGTCTTGATTGACTGTAGATAGCCTCGATCGAATTAGTGATCCTTCAACTACGACAAGTGGTTTTTGACCTTTGACCTGCCACAAGCAAACATACATACAAACTCATTTTATTTCATATAACCCTCCCCAGGACGATTGATCCGACTGTCGAAAAAACCATTTGTTTTTATCGGATTCGATGCGGAATTCGTAGGAAGTTACCGGATTCTTTGGTAAAAGAAACCGACAGGAAGTCGTCAGATGTCAGAAAGTATTGGATTGACCGCGATTCTTGTCGGAACTCCGGCATTCCAACACTTTCCGACATCCGACGACTTCCTGTCGGATTCCTTTACCAAAGATTCCGGTAACTTTCGACGAATTCCTATCGAATCCGATTGGACAGCTTCGCCCTGCGTCCCTACAATTGAGGGAATATATCCCTCCCTACAGTCAACGAAATATCGTTATTTTCTCAAACAGTTCTTTCTTGACCGAAAAAATTCAACTCAAAACTTTGAAAAACCGACTTCAGATTCAGATTCTCAGCCGTCGATAACCTATAGGAAACTATCATCAAAACACTGAAAAGCCTCAAAACAAGCTAGCCTCTCGCAGATGTTTTTTTGACCTGCCACAAACACACATACACATACAAACTCACATTTTATTTCATATGACCCTCTCTACAGTCGAGGGAACAAATCCTATTACTCACCGTTCTTATTAAGTACTTTGAATCTATATTTGAACAGAACAGAAATAGCATTTTTTATGAGAAAAAAAAAGAAAATCCCTTGGAACCAGAAATTCGTCCCACCCCATCCCATGGGATTCCATGCGATGCCCCAGCCTATTCGGAGCTCTGCACCCAACCAACTAATGGCCCCGGTACTATCTAAAATAAAACATTTCATTACTTTTTTTACTATGATTCTTATCTAAATCTAAATGCAAATATAAAGCGAAATAATAGCAAGGATACAAAAGTGTAGTTAGCAATTGTGCATAATATGTTTCTAATCTTCACAGCTGCGAAAGACATGTGTTTTATTTTATCTAAGATAATCACATAACAAATCAAAAGAACATATATTGCTTGTCAAAAATGCTCGATATATTTTATTTCAAGTTACTGGTTCATTAAAAACAGTCACAAACACGATTATATCATTGAAAATATTTTAAAAAATGTGTTGTGAAAACTGAAAATTTGTTACCAGCTTGTACCATAACCAATAAGGTATTTTTAAAAAGCCAGGAATCCATCCTGATAACCAACTTAACATCGGTATTCGTCTAACAAGAAAACTAACTGATCGTGGATTAGACGGATATGTGCCTAAAAGTATTTATGGATACATAGAAGTATTAAACAACAAAATTCAATTTTACAAAACATACCATCTATATCAGGAATACTATAAGTTGTTCCATAATCAGCCGTAGTCACTACCGTTCCTGAGTATTGCATCAATGATGAATCTATAAAGAAAATATTTATTTGTATTGGTTAGATCAGAAAGGCTAACTTTGTGCCAGATGAGCAATAATACGACCAACATATTCTGCTGATTCTGTTTTACCATAGGTTTCAAACATTTTACGAAACTATTGAGCAAAAACTAATTGTTTTATAAAGAATAATAAAAGTTAATATTATACCCCGGTATTACGTTCTGATGCTTGAACAGTATCTGTTTCAACAAGACCTGGCCAAAGTGATATTGAAGCAACATTGTGTTTTTTTAACTCTATTGCTGTATCAGCTGCCATACGATCACACTAAATCTTTATCATGCTTCAAATTAAAAAGAACAAAAGAATAACTAACAGCGGTTTTTCCAACGCCATAGGCTACATGAAATAAATAGATAAGGCCGCCTGCTGAAGATATGAATACAATTAAACCTTGTTTTCGAGGAACCATCAATCGAGCAGCATAAACAGCACAATAATAATGATTACTATAATCAAATAAAAAGTCTATTAAAGAATGGATATTCATTTAATTTATATTACCGTAAACCAACATTGTTAAGGTCATCAAAAATATCTGGTTCAGTTTCCCAAAATGGTGTACCAGATTCAATCAAGAGACGCTATAGAAAGAAGTAATTCAAAGTTAAGTTTTGATACAATGTCTTTCAAATACCTCAACCCCCTTATATGCATTATTAACTAAAATATCTAATCGACCATCTTGTTCCTTTGAAATTCGTTGAAATAATGCTTCAACTTCATCGGCATTTTCATGATCAACACGTAATGGAATACATTGACCACCTCGATTACGAATCTAAAAGAAATTAGATTTCAACTCTTTGATAATCAAATTATTGATACTCACAGCTTCTGCAGTCTCTTCTAAACTTCCACTTTTACCATCCGATGATTTTACTGTACGACCTTTTCATATAAATTATATATTTTTCAAAAAATAATCAAATAACATTCATTTCTACCTGTAACATAGACGAGAGCACCAGCAGCTCCTAATTCAACAGCAATGCCTTTGCCAAGGCCTCTTGTTCCACCTGTGACAAGAGCCACTCGCCCAGCTAATGATTTAGTCGCCATCTGAAAAAGAATACTCGTTTGTTGTTAGTTGTATGGGTTTCGCTACTAGTCGTATTTACATCTTAATACACAAAGAACACAAGAAAAAAATAATAAAATGCAGGTTAACAAACAGAGATATATGCACATGATACAAGATAAGAGTAGAACAAAAGATACGGAAAAATAAAGTCCAAAAATCAATCTCGTTCCTTAAAAAAGGTAATTGAAGCAAGATATCGGTTGAACATAACTTCAAAAATCATATCATCATTAATTAAATCACAAAATGTTGGTCCAAATGGATTTGTTGTATTTGTTGATGATGAACGATGAAGACTAGGATCGATGGTGTGGGTGTGGGTGTGAGTTATTGAAGAGCTGCACTCAAACTCACATC